CTCCAGTGCCGTGTTTTCCTTCCGTCTCTGTAATTTTGTGTAGATGTTGCAGGCTGCACTGAGGTTACTCTCTCCTTCCTCCTCTGCCTTTGCACTTCTTCACGTGATGACTTGGCACTTCAGCACATCCTTCCTCATTAGATTTTTCTGTAGAAGTTAGTAGTTTGGGATGGTTAGAAGGCTGGGAAACTGGTTGAGTTTGTGTCTTCCAGACAGTTTTGCTGGGAGGTTTAGAGGCGTGTAGATCAGGCTCCACTTTTGGTAGGTATTTTTGATTTGATTTGATTTTTTTTTTTAGATCTAGCTTGTGATGTAAATTTCAGGTACACATTCAAATACAGGAAGACCATTGACTGTGACATGGAGGAGCTGAGTCCTTTCCATCACAGCTGTTTAAGTAGGTGCCTCTAGAGTGTGGGCGGGCTCTCCCTAGTTAGCACCTGCTTTCTAGTCCGGGTTTTAATGCTTCCTTAGTTTTTCTTTGGTGAAATTGCAACAGTATATAGATGAAAATCAGATCAGAAAAGCTTCACGGAGCTAGATCGATTGATAACACTTGCCATAGAAAGAGTAGGAAACTGGAAAAGCAGGTAAGAGTATTAATACCGTGCAGAGACCTGAGCAGATACTGGCTGTTTACATTGTCATTTAAAGAAATGTGTGGTTGGAGTGGTCTACGTGGTGGCTTAGTGGTTACTGTCCTTGGATAACACGTGTGTCTGTGCTGCAGAGTGATGGCAGTAACAGGTAGTTTGGAATTAATTTCGTCTTTTAATGAAAAGGAGTATAATTTTCTTTTTCCTGTTCTCAAACATGCTCAATAAATCCACTTATCACTTTCCAAATTGAAAAAATTTCCTCTATGTATTTTGTACCCTGACTTTTATAATGCAAACAAGAGTAAAGATGGTTTTCTTCCAGTCCTCTGTGTCCTGTTTGCTGCCTTACTACACCCTGTGTCTTCACCTTGCTGCTTCCTCATTCCTCTGTAGGAAGAGCCCCTAAGAATAGCCTGAGTTATAGACGTTCTGTACAGGCAGATTGCTGAGTCATGAGTAATAGACATTCTATACAGGCAGATTGCTGAGTCATGAGTAATAAATGTTCTATACAGGCAGATTGCTGAGTCATGAGTAATAGATGTTCTATACAGGCAGATTGATGAGTCATGAGTAATAGACGTTCTATACAGGCAGAGCTGAGTCATGAGTAATAGATGTTCTATACAGGCAGATTGCTGAATCATGAGTAATAGATGTTCTATACAGGCAGATTGCTGAGTCATCCAGTTCTGTTACAAAGGGAATATGGAGAACAGTGTTGAGCAGAGGAGATAGGTTCTTCATATGCAAAGTCATTCTTTGGAAAAACAAGGAATTCTAATCCTCATCAGTCAGAGTTCATAATTTCATTCAGCTTTATTTTTAACAGGATTATATTTTGAAATGATGTTAAATGCTTTAAATCATACTTCAGAAATCTGTTGAATACAATTTTCAGTAATGTTTCAAGTACAGTAAACTTAAGGTGATGAACAGATAAATAATGTGACCTGTAAATATTTCTGTAGGTATCAACATTTTCTTTTCATGCTTATATATATTAATTTTCTAGCTGTTCTAGAATAGTCTGTCTGCCTGTGAAATAGTTACCTCCAGAAGAGATATGATGGGACTGTTGAATCTGTGACAATAAAATGAATTTGTTGGCTTTTCCTTAAAGAGATAAGGCTTGAGCATCCTTGCAGACTTCTAACCCCCTTTCTCCTTGCTCTGTCATTCCAAAATACTTACATCATAGTTTGGTGCCAAGCAGATGGATGGATTTGAGTCCTACCATCAGAATAACTTACTGGGAAAGCTCAGCTTAGAGTCTGCTACCTCATTGTAGTCTTGGTCTGGTTTCTGAAAGTGAAGGCAAGATATTTATTGAAGTCCACCCCAGGGAATCCAATACCAAATGGTTAGCCCTGAAGTCATACACAAACAAGTAACATTAGAGCAACCGAGCCGGCTATGTTTATGTGTTTAGAATATACATATGTAACAATAATTAAAAAAAAGAGGCCATGAATTTGAGGGGGTCCATGGGAAGTGTTGGAGTGAGGAAAGGGAAGGGGGAAATGTTGTCATGACATTTAAATTTCAAAAACTAAAAAAATAAATAAAAATAAACTTTAAACAACAATAACAAAACCTACAGATCTTAAAAAGAAAACTGCAGACCTTTAAACAGAGACAATCAGGCTTTCAGGGGCTGGAGGGAGGGATGGCTCTGTGGTTCAGAGCATCAGCTGCTCTGCTAGAGGACTGGGCTTGGCTTCCCAGCACCCACAGCTGCTCACACCTGGCTGTAACTTTAGGGATGCAACACTCTTTCCTGGCCTCCAGGGGCATGAGGCATGCACCTGGTGTGTGGACATACATGAAGGTAAAACACTCCTACACATAAAAGAAGTACATTAAAAAATTACTCTATAAAAATAAGGCCTTAATGTAGGCCTTAAATGCTCAATTAAAATTGATACATTTGTGATAGAATGGATTTGGATTGTTGGACACAGCTAAGTGAGGTTTTCAAAGTTAATCTTGGACCATTGTGTTGAACGTCAGTGGTTTGGTCTGCGGGTTTGTTTTCTGGCATTAGAACTAGCTCATTTGCTGATTAATTGAGGGTTCAGATGTCAATAACAAAGCTGCCCCAAGTGCAGTAACATTTCTCTCTGTGGTCAGGTGATCTGTTCCATTTGTCTCTGGAGCTGCCATGCCCAGGACCCTCTGTGCTTGTCTGAGGGAGGCTGCGTTCAATTGCCCTCGGCCCCTGCCATATGGGCATGACTGGGTTCCTCTTTGCCTCTCTGGGTGGTGAATCCTACTAGTTGGGTCTTACAGAGCTTCCGTTAGAAGGGCCATATTTTAGTACTTTTTAACATCTTTTCTATAAGAAACTTATGTTTAGATGATTGATATGACAAATGTTTTTTCTGTTGTAATGGTAGAATTTTGCTATGAAAATATATCTTAAAATCTTTAGGAAAATTAAAAAATAATTATTTTCCCTTGATGTTAAATTTGGGACAACAAAAATATAGTAGGAAATTATTCTGCTTTTTGAAGTCCTGGAAAAGCTAGCTACAGAAGTGGTTATTGAGATGTATGTAAACTAAATTTGGATTTTTAGTTTTCATTTTTTTATATTTTTTATAACTATCAAGAAATGACAGTTAATGATTTTGAAAAACTGGTAGACCTCTGCTAAAATTGATTTCGTAAAAGAAGATAAATACAGAAGCATTACAATTTTGTCAGAAAGAACTTAGTATGTCCCTAAAAATAATTTGAGTTTGTACTTTAATTGCAAAACAATCATGTCTTGAAAGGAGTGTGTCTGCTTTGCCTGTGGCATGGGAGAGACAGTGAGACTGAAGTCTGTAAAAGTGTGCTCTGACTCAGGAGATAGATGCAGGCCACTGCCTCCCCAGCTGGGGGTCAGGGTGTGTGTGTCCTCCCCAGCCGGGGGCCAGCAGTGTGTGTGTGTGTGCCCTCCCCAGCCGGAGGGGGGGGGGCAGCGGGGTGTGTGTGTGTGTGTGTGTGTGTGTATGTGTGTGTGTCCTCCCCAGCCGGGGGCCAGCGGTGTGTGTGTGTCCTCCCCAGCCAGGGACCAGCAGTGCTCGTGCCCAGAAGTACTTCAGATGGAGCTCAGGAGGAATTGGGAATAAGAACAGAGAGAGGGCTTTCGGGTCAGCTTTGACTTTTGTTTCTGGAGAGAGAAAAAGCAGCAGCCATTTCCTATGGGAACCAGGGTCCTGGAGTGAAATCTGCACTCCTCCTCAAGTGTGGGAAAGTCAGAAAGAAGTGGCTTGAAGTTTGCCAGTTTACACGGTTCATCACTCACAACTGGGCAGGGGCGGGGTGTCGGGAGTATGGGGGGATTAGGCTGCCTTGCTGTTTTCTAGAGACTCATACCTTGACCATGGAAGGTCTAAACACCACGTCTCACCTTTGTGAATCGGGGTTTTCAGGGAGGTATGAGAATGATAGTTACTATAGAAGGAAGATGCTGTACTGGAAATGAAACAGTTTACATGGGAAGTGTCCGAGTGTGTGAAGTCCGGAATGCCCTGTCTCAGCCTCCGGGGCTGTGTGGCCATCCTGCCGCCCACCCTCCGCCCTGTATCTATCTATGCAGCCTCAGCTGCTCCTTCTCTAGACTGAGTCAAATTGCCGCACTTCCTCTGCGGAGTCCATGCTGCTAGTTAGTCATGCTTTTCGGAAGGTTTTTTGTTTGTGTTTTCCCTAATGAAATTGGGTGTGTTTATTTTGTAATTGTTTTTTAGTCATCTGAGCCTAAATATTTCAGTATTGACTAAGGGCAACTTTTGAAAATACTACAGAAATGCTTTTAGCACATGTGTGAGTATACAGTCTAAACCTTCAGTTTATTCCTAGATCAGGAGCTGACCTTAGCATGCCCTCCAGTGACATTATGATCTGTTTTAAGTTTAGGGGCGATTGTTCCTGTATTGGGTCTTTATAACTGGATGGTCTATTTCCAACAGTTTGAGAATAATGAGGCAAATCACTTTGAAATTTGTACCATTGTTTGGAAAGCTTTTGAATGTCTCCCTTTGAAAAGTGACTTTGAACAAGCCCTGATCACCCGCTATGCTACAGTAAATGCTGAAGTAGCATCCTGGCATCCTTCCCAAAAGCACGCCTAAGGAGGCTCGCCGCCGCTGCCGCCGCAGTGTTCCCTGCTCCCTCCACTGCTCTTTACCTTGCTCGCGCTAGTGCAGCCTGTTCTGCGGATGTGCTCAAACCCTCCCACTCACTGGCTCTGCAGCAGAGAAGAATGGATCTCCGAGTCCACTAGAAATGAACGGTGTAGCGAGCTTGCGGGAGGGGGAACATGCACGTCTTCCAGCAGCTGACCAAGAAAGCATATTAATACAGTATTTCTTTCCTTCAATTGATACATTTTTGCTTTCTGTTTTCTTCTAGAGAGATGTGGATAATTTGCCCTGCCTCCAACGCCTCTTTCTCAGCTTCAACAATATATCTAGGTATGTGGGAACTCCCAACTCGTCATTAATAGATAACTTGTCTGTGTGGGCTCTCCTGCTTTGAGATAGTCAATGCCCTGGAGAGTTTGACTGTCCTGAAAGATTTTTCCATTTGAAAATGGGAGGACCGCCCATGACAAAGTTCTTTGTTGGGAAAAGGAAGCGCTTGTGTCTTCTGCCTCTGTTGTTAAAGATGATGCAATTAGCGAAGCATGGCCTTTCTGTAGTGTGCTGGTGGGCTGCCTGAGCTGTCAGTGTGGATTTGCTGGCCTTTGTTTGACAGCCGCTGCCTTAGTCAATCGCATTAGTTTCCTTCATAAATTATCATCTGCAATCCGTACAGCCACTGAGCAGTTTTAGTAAAGCAGGCTATATTTGTCACTGAGCTGCCTGGGAATTAGGCCGTGCCAGCCTTCTAAGTGATTCTGCTTTGAGTGAATCTGCTAAGAGAATTATTAGAACATATGAACGCACACAGTTTGCTTGCCATCCTTGTCCTTATATCATGATGTCTTGTTCGGTGTGAGTGTGGGAGCTTACAGAACTGAAGCAGAGGCAGAGGCCGACTATCCAGTGCAGAAAGACCTCGCACTTCCCTAGTCTTTCTTCTCCTTCCCTCCATCTTTGTTGGGGCTTGACTCCGTGACTTCTCCACTTTTAGTTTCTCTTCAAGGCTGTTCTCTGGACTTGAATTTGAGCAAGGGGAATCATTAAGTTTAAAAGCACGCTCTTCCTGGACTCCAGGTCTCTGCTTCTGAGGACTAGAAACCATGGAGTTCTGTGCTCTGTGCATCTTTCTGTTCACCCCTCACCCCCAGTTTAACCTCATCTCCCTATCCTGAAGATGGTGAGCACTTTAGAGAAATGCTGTTTCAGAGGAAATGCCCTGCAATCCTCCTCCTTCTCCTCCATAGAAAAGTGTAAAAGTTTTCTGAAGGACTTTCAGTGTCCCTCTCTGTCTGCATGTACTTTTCTAGCTGCCCTCTGCCGTGTGTGTGTGTGTGTGTGTGTGTGTGTGTGTGTGTGTGTGTGTGTGTGTGTGTGTAAGTTCTTTTGTCAGCATTGGTTTTCTTCAGGGAATTTCTACCTAAAGACTGTCAAAGCTCTAGCACAGAGGTTCTCAACCTTCCTCATGCTGCGACCCTTTAATACAGTCCCTCATGTTGTGGTGACCCCAACCATAAAATATTTTCGCTGCTACTTCATAACTGTAATTTTGCTACCATTATGAATTGTATGCAACCCAAAGGGGTCTCGACCACTGCTCTAAGGACCGTAGTCACTGTTTAAGCTGCTGCAAACCCTTAGATTTCCCCAGTCTGCGGTGAACTTGTTTCTTCTTGTTGTTTGTGTGAGCAACTGAGGAGATATGTATTTGCTTATACATAGATTATGCTACTCCCAGGCCCCAGAGCACTAGCTCTCTGAACTCCTAAACTTTGGGCTTGTAAGGAGTTGGCTTTGGTTGCTTATATACTGGAGAACTTTCTTTCAAAATCCAGAAGGGAGGTTCACCCAGCCAGCAAAATAAGATTCATGGGATTTTTTTTCTTGAAAAAGCATGTTTTCCTAAGAAACTGAGAAATAAGTGAGGCAACATTCAAGGCTTTTGTTCTTCTGTGACTGCTTTCTCTGTGTTTCTCCATGGGCTAAGCTTTAGATTTGCTTAGTGTTTCCACCTGATCTGTGTTGGGGGCGGAGTGGATCTGATGCTCTGTGTTGATATCTATGGCCCAGAGGTTCTGTATCATGATCTATTACTCTGTGTTGATATCTATGGCCCAGAGGCTTTATATCATGATCTGTTGCTCTGTATTGATATCTATGGCCCAGAGGTTCTGTATCATGATCTGTTTTTACTCTGTGTTGTTATCTATGGCCCAGAGGTTTTGTATTGTATGTTGCTCTGTGTTGATATCTATGCCCAGAGGTTTTGTATCAAGATCTGTGCTCTGTGTTGATATCTATGGCCCAGAAGTTTTGTATCATGATCTGTTGTTCTGTGTTGATATCTATGGCCCAGAGGTTTTGTATCATGATCTATTACTCTGTGTTGATATCTATGGCTCAGAGGTTCTGTATCATGATCTATTACTCTGTGTTGTTATCTATGCCCAGAGGTTTTATATCATGATCTACTACTCTGTGTTGATATCTATGGCCCAGAGGTTCTGTATCATGGGTGCATACACTGGGTCTAGGGGAGAAAAATCTCTTGGAGAGCAAGCCTTGAAAACATTTGTGTAAACTTTACTTAAGATACATGTATGTCAATTAGCTATGCTACAGACCACTAGAGACCATCTTCAGTGATAACTCAGTGCATTTCTGAACTCCGTGTTCTGGTGAATGGAGTTGCCAGGCTTTACAGTCCAGTGCTCCTGGGTAGCAGAGGTCACGAAGGGAAGAAGCAACACTAAAGGTACGTATCATAGGAGCTTCTAGTGCTCCCTGTAGAGATGCCGACTGCATCTAGCAAATGAAAATATCCAGCACATGGCCATTTAAAGGGAAAAGTCTATTAACCCTTTCTATTGTAGGACTTAGGCTTTCACCAAGTTGTTGGATTCTTAATGATTCATTTACACCAACACTTAGACACCTTGTGGAAACACAGAAAGTTCCAAAGTGAGATTTCACTATGGAATTCAGAGATAGATTTATGTGGTGGTTTGAATAAGAATGGCCCTCATAGACTCATATATTTGAATGCTTAGGGAATGACATTAGGAGGTGTGGCTTTGTTGGGTTGGGTGTGACCTTGTTGGAGGAAGTGTGTCATTGGGGTTGGCCTTTGGGGTTTCAGAACCCCAAGCCAGGCTCTCTTCCTTCTGCCTGCCAGTCTGGATATAGAGCTCTCAGGTACTTCTCCAGCACCATGTCTGCATGCATGCGGCCATGGTTCTCATCATGATGACAATGGACTAAACCTCTGAATATAAGCAAGCCCCAATTAAAAGTTTTCTTTTATAAGAGTTGCTATGGTCATGGCATCTCTTCAAAGCAATAAAAACAATGACTAAGACAATTTATTAATTCAGCACAAGCTTTTTTTAAAGGCTCTGTGAATGCAGATGGTAAATTCAGGAGCTCTGTATGCAGAGGATGCTGTCCCAAGGGAGCATATTTGATCTGTAGTTGGACTTTCTTTGGGATGTGCTCATACAGGAAGGAAGCTTGCCTCTTCAGAGTGGAGGATTCCTGTTGACCTCAGCCATCAGAACATATCTAGAACCCTGCCCTTGTAACCTTAATCCTCAAGACATAACTAGAACCCTGCCCTGGTGACCTCAGCCATCAGAAAACACTTAGAACCCTGCCCTGTGACCTGCTATAAGGACATACCTACAACCTTGCCCTGTGACCTGCTATAAGGACATACCTACAACCTTGCCCTGGAGACCTTGGCCATAAGGACATACCTACAACCTTGCCCTGGTGACCTCCACCCTCAGAATATACCTAGAGCCCTTCCCTTGACCTCTGTTTCCTGAGCTCAGTTCAGATAGTATATTCTCTCCAGCCCTTCAGGTTGCCCAGACAACCTACTCGTGTCTGCTCCCAGCACTTGCTGTCACTGTTCTAAGCAATCTCCTGAGGCTCTGATGATGACTCTTGCAATGTAATGCTGTTTTTAAAATGTGTACATCAGTAGTGTGGGGTGTGGCCACGTTGTTTTTCAGCCAGTCCCAAGAGCTCTTTCATCTTGCAAACCTAGAGCTGTATACTCACTAAATAAGTCTGCATTACTCCCTACCCTCAGCTACTAGTGACCTCCATTCTATTTTCTGTCTCTGAATTTGATTGCTGGAGGGGGATCCCTCACAGGAATGAAATCCTACAATGTTTATATTTTTATATGCAGCCCATTTTACTTAGCATAATATGCTCAAGGTTCATCTATGTTGCTACATGTCAGAATTTCCTTCCTAAATCTGAACACTCATGGATTCTTGAGACAGTATAGAACACACCAGAAGAGGGAACTTGGAGAACAGGCCATGCCTACCTTCTGGTTCTCATTCCCCTCTCCCTCAACCCCCCCCCCCCCCACACACACACACAGTGCTCAACATTCTGTTCCACCTAGCCTCCTTAAAGACACCCTATACCTCTGCTCAGTCTTTGTGTCTGCCTTCACCTTTGGCAATCACCTTTTCATTTCTTCTCCGTATCAGAATAACCAGATCATCCTATACTGCTCAGATTAAATGACACCAAGAGTTCACATGCTAAATGCAGCATTTGGAGTTACTTTTTGCAGATTCCAATTTCATAGCTGCCCTCCCCAATTCTGTAGTTTTAACCCAGTTCAAGAACTCATAGGAAAAACAAGTAATTATACCTGTGTCTTGCAAACTCAAGTCAGAACATATCCAGGGATGCTATAACCAGCTTGGTGCCTCAGGACCAGGAAAATAAGAAGAGAAAATGCCAGAGTCCACCCTACACTGTGAGGAAAATGCTGTTTCATGGAATTTTTCTTTTGTTTGTGAGTGGATCTGTGTGTGTGTGTGTGTGTGTGTATGTGTGTGTGTGTGTGTGTGTGTGTGTGTGTGACAGAGAGAGAGAGAGAGAGAGAGAGAGAGAGAGAGAGAGAGAGAGAGAATTCTAGACATGTGTGCATTGGTTTATAATGGAAATCTCTCACTATGCGTTTGGTTTTAAGGTTTGAGAACTGCTGTGTGCTCTGAGAGCCTCCTGAGCTAGCTGTATTGCTATTGAAGCTTGTGTAGCTTGTACTGATTTTAAATTATCCCCTGCTAGACTGTGAACTGGACAGTGACAAAGGAGTATCTGTGTGCTGCCCATTATTTCCTCGTCCCCAGCACCTAGCATGCTCTTTGTTCGAAATTCACCAGTGTGTAGACAGTTGCAATCAGGCTCTACCGCCTTCAATACAGGGTCTAGTTCTGCTGTGCCCTTGGTCATGTCATGCTGTTACTAGGTCATTTAGGTTCTGTTTGCTGCCCGGACCTGCGAGGTTTAAAGCTGGAATC